AATTGAGTGGGTGGAACCATCCTATTTGCCTTTAAACGGCCAATTTACCGGTTTACATCTTGGACCGATTTAATTAACTCAAGCCTACTACGTACGAACATTTATGACAACATATAATAATGATCATTTATGGTTCCAAACGGCATTATATGACCCCGAGATGTATCCCATAAAATCTCAAAACTTTTCGACACCGGGTCTCGAAATATCACAAATTTCTCAAAAAGCGTGGATTTTAATTTTGGAATTTTTTGACTTTTTTTCGCCCGTAAAAAATAATAATTGCCGAAATATTTACCATGGTCTCTAATACCCTCCAGGAGTCCAATTGGGTGGGTTGAACCATCCAATTTGCATATAAACGACCAATTTACCGGTTTATAACTTGCACCGATTTCATTAACTCAAGCTTACCACAAACATTTATGACAACATATAATGATCATATATGGTTCCAAACGTCATTATATGACTCGAGATTTATTTCCTAAAATCTCAAGGCTTTTCGATACCGTGACCCGAAACCTCCAAAATTTCTCAAAAAGCGTGGATCAATTTTTGAATTTTTTGACTTTTTTTCTCCCGTAAATAAAAATTGCCGAATTTTTTACCATGGTTCCTAATACCCTCCAGAAGTCCAATTAAGTGGGTTGAACTATCCAATTTGTCTTTAAATGACCAATTTACCAGTTTACAACTTGCACCGATTTCATTAAATCAAGCCTACCACAAACATTTATGACAACATAGAATGATTATAAACGTTTCCAAACGGCATTATATTACCCCGAGATGTATCAAATTTAAAGGATTTTCGACACCGGGCCTCGAAACCTGCAAAATTTCTCAAAAACGGTATTCAATTTTGGAATTTTTTTGACTTTTTTCGCCGGAAAATAAAAATTCCTGAAATGTTTACCATGGTCCCTAATACCCTCCGGAAGTCAATTGGTTGGGTGGAACCATCCAATTTGCCTTTAAACAACCAATTTACCAGTTTACAACTTGCACCAATTTCATTAACTCAAGCCTACCACGAAAATCTATGACAACATATAATGATCATATATGGTTACAAACGACATTATATGACCCCCATACGTATTTCCCAAAATCTCAAGGCTTTTCGACACTGGGCCCCGAAACCTCAAAAATTTCTCAAAAAGCGTGGACATTAACTTTTAATTTTGGAAATTTTTGACTTTTTTCGCCCGAAAATAAAAAATGTCGAAATGTTTACCATATTCCTTAATACCCTTCAGTAGTCCAATTTTGTGGATGGAACCATGCAATTTGCCTTTAAACTACCATTTATCGGTTTATAACTTGCACTAATTTCATTAATTCAAGCCTACCACGAACATTTTTGACAACAAATAATGATCATATATGGTTCCAAACGACATTATATGACTCTAAGATGTATACCCTAAAATCTCAAGGCTTTTCAATACCCGCCCCGAAACCTCCAAAATTTCATAAAAAGCGTGGATATTAGCCTTTATTTTTGGAAATTTTTAGACTTTTTTCGCACGGAAATAATAATTGCCGAAATGTTTACCATGGTTCCTAATACCCTTCGGGAATCCAATTGGGTGGGTGCAACCATACAATTTGCCTTTAAAACGACATATTTACCAGTTTATAACTTGCACTGATTTCATTAAATCAAGCCTACCTCGAACATTTATGACAACATATAATGATCATTTATGGTTCCAAACATCATTATATGACCCTGAGATTTATTCCCTAAAATCTAAAGGCTTTTTGACACCATGCCCCGAAACCTCCAAATTAAAATTTCTCAAAAAACGTGGATATAAGCCTTTAATTTTGGAATATTTTGACTTTTTTCGCCTAGAAATAAAAATCGTCTAAAAATTTTACAATGCTCCCTAATCTCCTTTGGGAGTCCAACTGGGTGGTTTGAATTATCCAATTTGCCTCTAAACAGCCAATTTACCGATTTACAACTTGCATCAATTTCATTAAATCAAGCCTACGACGAACAGTTATGACAATATATAATGATCATAAATGGCTCCAAACGGCATTATATGACCCCGAGATATATCCCCTAAAATTTCAAGACTTTTCGACACCGGGCCCTGAATCCTCCGAAATTTCTCAAAAAGCATGGATATTAGCATTCAATTTTGTAATTTTTGACTTTTTTCGCCCGTAAATAAAAATTTCCGAAATTTTTACCATGGTCCCTAATATCTTTAGGAAGTCCATTTGGATAGGTGGAACCCTCCAATTTGTCTTCAAACGACCAATTTACCGATTTACAACTTGCACGGATTTCATTACTCAAGCATACTACGAACATTTATGTCTATAATGATCATATATGGTTCCAAACGGAATTATATGACCCCGAGATGTATCCCCTTAAATATCAAGACTTTTCTACCCTGGTCCTCGAAACCTTCAAAAATTTTCAAAAAACGTGGATATTAGCCTTCAATTTTGGAATTTTTTTACTTTTTTTCGCCGAAAATATAAATTGCCGAAATGTTTACCATGGTTCCTAATACATTCCGAGAGTCCAATTGGGTGAGTGCAACCATCCAATTTGCCTTTAAACGGTCTATTTACCGGTTTATAACTTGCACCGATTTCATTAAATCAAGCCTACCACGAACATTTATGACAACATATAATGATCGTATTTGGTTCCAAACGTCATTCTTGACCCCGAGATGTATTCCCTAAAATCTCAAGGCTTTTCGACACCGGGCCCCGAAACCTCCAAAATTTCTCAAAAATCGTGGATATTAGCAAGCCTTCAATTTTGGAATTTTTTGACTTTTTTTTGCCCGGAAATTAAAATAGCCACAATGTTTCCCACGATACTTAATATCATACGGGGGTCCAATTGGGTGTGTGGAACCGACCAATTTGTTTTTAAGCGACCAATTTACTAGTTTACAATTTGTATCGATTTACTGTTTACAACAGCCAATTTAATTAACTTGCACCGAACCTGACTTGAACCGAAATTGACCATAACCCGTTTAACCCGTCAACACCCGATTTTAACCCGAATTGTTACTAACCTGACCTAAATTCAGCCTGCCCCGTTCCTAACCCAACCCGAATTTAACCCAACCTGTTACAAACCCGGCCCGAAATCAACCCGACTTGTTATTGACCTGACCCAAATTCAACCCGACTTGTTATTGACCCGAACCGAATTTTACCAGACCTATTACTTACTCAACTCAAAAATTTAACCCGATCTGTTACTAATCGAACTCGAAATTAACACGACTTGTTATTGACCCGATCTAAATTCAACCCAAATAGTTTCTGACCCAATTTCAAATCACCTTAAATGCAATATATTGATCAAAGCATTTTGTCTAGGGAGACTAAGTCGGTCCAGCCAGCAAAAGAAAGGAGCATTATCCTCAAATTTAAGAGTTAAATATAGTATATATTTGTTGTATGGTCAAAAGAGATAATTATCTCCCTAAATTATAGACTATAGTTCCCTAGCATATTGTCATATATATTATAGTCAAGGGAAATAATAATTAGCTTAATAAAAATGATAGTTATCTATTTATAGTTAGTTGAACTCGAATATGTCATGACTTAGAAATGACCCGACCTGATTGTAACCTGCAAATTATTGACTTGAACATAACCCGACTTGAATCCGAGAATGACCCGACTTGAAAATAACCCAATCTGATTATAACCCGCAAATTATTGACTTGAACCGAACCCGACTTGAACCCGAGAATGACCCGACTTGATTATAATCCGCAAATTCTTGACTTGAACCGAACCCGACTCAACCCCGAGAATGACCCGACCTGATTCTTTCCCGCAAATTATTGACTTGAACCAAACCCGACTTGAACACCAGAATTACCCTAACCCGTTTTAACCCGTGAAAACTCAACCTATTGTTCACCCGACTCGAATGTAACCCGACTGGTTAGTAACCCGACCTAAACCCGATAAGAAGTATGACCCGACGTGACCCACTCAAGCATGACCCAACCCAAACCCGCATAGGTTATGGAATTAATCCGAATTGACCCGACCTGAGTTAACCCGACTCACTCTTATCCGACCTAAACCCGACCCGTTTACCCGAATTGGCAGCTCTAGGTTAGATAAAAAAACAAATAAGAGTACAGAAATAATACAATTAAATTCTCGTACAATTCTTTGATGTACTATATATATTGTAGTAAATATTAATATAAAGGAGACCTAAGTTGCCTACAATCCTCAAGGACTTCAACAATAAACTTGATAAATACGAAGTATACAATATCAACAACCACCAACCGACTTCTAATAAGTGTAACATGTAGATAAAACAAAACGAGAAAATAACAGAATTTTCCGATAGCGTTTTGCAGCTCGTCTGTGAAACATTTATACCTGCCTTGGGAGCACCAAGCCATAATTTGTATTAATAAATGGATAATGCAATAAATGAGTAGGTTGGTTACAAATGCAACAAGGGACCATTTTTTGTCTTACAAATTTTAAAACTTGTAGTACGGAGTACAACTTACATAAAGAAGCACAATGATAAATTACTACACGAGCTAATAAAAAGACTTTTCTCGTTTCTAATTGGATTTTGGTCGTATTAGTTTATACATGAAGTTTTGACTTTGAAACTTCAAAGTTATCGAGCATTTAATAGCCCAAAATGGTACGAGTAGATTTTTGACTTTGGAACTCTCCTTTTTTTATTTCTTATTTCAAAGCCCGAGAGAGTTGACCTTGGGCTTCCAGCCAGACCAGATCACCAGACAATAGACACCATCTCCAACTCAATTGGTCCAAAGTCTCTAAACTTCTAATTCTGTGTGTAGAAAAAAAATTTAAGGTCTCTTTTAAATTTTTGTAGGAACCTCGTGTTATAGAGAGCCACAAAGGATTGTCACGTTTTAAATATTACTCCACAATTGTAACACACAAGTACTTTGTACTCCGTAGTTCGTATTGTACTATCCATAGTGTCCATAGAACATGTACTTATTCCACAAAAAAAAGATAATCATAGTTTGGTTCAGAAATTAAGGCCTTCATTAATTTCTTCATCTAAATTTACTGCTCACTATAAAATACTGTCCTGAAGACCTGAATTCAGTTATAGTCTTACAGAATGTTACATACTGTTGAAGCCATTTGTATATTCAGGACCAGGATATACAATATACATCATGCAAATACCAAACAACTGCTAAGTGCTAATATGATTGTTGTAATATTGCAGTATCTCACTGCTAATGTACAGCTTCATTACCTTTTACTTTTAAGAACGAACCTTGCTGGACTAAACGGACTAAGATCAGCAATACTAGTTTTACCGGCAATAACAAGTTCAGCCAATGCAGCTCCTGTTGCTGGCCCATTAAGGATGCCCCAGCAGCTATGCCCAGTTGCTACGAAGCATCCTTTCATGCCCGGAAGCTCACCAATTACTGGAACACCGTCATCAGTGGATGGCAAGAAACATGCTTGCTCTGCTGTAACCTGTGCTTCCCCTTCCTTTAAATGTGTGGAAACATTCCCGGCCACTTGTTTGAGGATTTTTATTGATTCTGGATTGGGTGTAACCTGCTCCGGATCATCTGGCACCTCCTCTGTTGATGACATCCCACAAATGTACACCTCACCTGTGAAAGAATATTATTTATGATAAGCCATCACATGATTAGCCAAGCTTCAGCAGTGAATTACATGCCTTAAAACAATTTGAATCTTCAACAATGAAATTACTCAATCTTGCCTAAATCGATTGTTGATCATCCCCCTGAATCGATACTTAATTGCTCACTTGATGCGTAATCTTATAATATCAGAAATAGCAAACACCTTAACAATGCTACTAAAGGCACTGATGCACTAGCATATACTCTGTATGTTCAAAGAGACTAGATTGAACATATGGTGGCGATGTAACTAAGAGAATGAAAGTTCCTTATATTAATGTATTGAACATTGATCCCAAATCAAATGTGACATTCACTACTACATATATTGATATATGTAGTGAGTATACCAACCATTCACTGATAGTTCAATACTCACTACTTTTAGTTAAAACATACAACTCCACTATATTATGCAGTATTCAATGTGCCATAATTCTACTATCTTAAACCGGCAAGGGGAACAAAACGACCAAAACTCGGCCGTTGAGATACACAATAGCTACGATGTCTTCAATCGAGACCGAAACCTAACTCATCAATAGAAACAAAATTAAGAAAATTTACCATAGCATCCCACACTTCAAGAATAATTCACCAAAATATGGCATTATGCCACTATGCTAATACAAGTAAAATCACAAACACACCTAAAAATAATGACATTGTAAAATTGTAACTTATGACTTAATAATCAATAATTCAATAATCAAATATTGACTTTATAATGCAATAATCAAATTAAGAATGCAATAATAAAGATAGAATTAGCTATACCAGTGGGCCGAGGATAGACTTCAGGGTCCATGGGCCTACCACCATGGGCTGGATAATAAGTGAGAAACAACGCATGAGGCGAGATAAGATCAGGCTCTTTGGGCTCTAGAACAATACTATGGGCCTTAAGCCCATAAACTCTAAACAACGAAGACACTAAAGCCAACTTAGAAGACCAAGGCCCAAGAGCCAACACAACCGAGTCAGCATAAAGAACTCGTCCATCATTCAAAACAACCGAGTCAACTCGCCCTTCATCCTTTTCATCAAAACCAACTTCATCCACCCTCCCAATCACCACCTCTGCTCCATACTTCTCCACCGCATTCGTCATCAAACACCTCGTGAACAACTGGGGGTGCACTTGGGCCGTCGTTTGGGCCGTCCCAATGGGCTTCGATTTCTGGGCTGGCCCATCTACCCATGACGGTAAATTCTTAACATTACTACTGGGTTTACTATGAGACTCATCAATTGCCACGCTTAGGGTGTCCAGTGGACGGTAACCGTAGGATGAAGGCCCATCAAGCTCATCGGACAATGAACGGTGGAGATTGAAGCTGGTACGTGCGAGGGAAGAGAGGGGCCCACCGTCGCACCAATCTAAGGCCAGGAATCCACCGGCTTTTCCGGAGGCGGCGCATGCGACGGAGGACTGTTCAACGACGGTGACGGAGGCGCCGTTTTTGGCGAGAAAGTATGCCGTGCAAACTCCGATGACTCCGCCGCCGCACACCACTACTTTGAGCCGCCGGTCATCGCCGGTTCCCGGTGGTTTGGACATGTTCGGAGTGGATAAGGAGCAACGTATTGAGGTGGCGATTAAGGGTTTGGAGTAAGGAGAGAGGAAATGACGAAGTTTTGTTTTTGTTAATGGGGATGAAGAAATTAATTTTGTTTCCATTTTTTTTTGTTTTCCCTTTTTTTCACCATTTTGGATTTCTGGAAGAAGCGTTGCTCTGGAAGAATGGTGATTTGACACGTGGAATAAGTTGGATTTTGTTGATACGGGTTTAAAGCCTGGACTGTTATTTGGGCTGAATCTGTAAATTTAAATGAAGGGTCTTTTGGGCTAATATATTTGGGCCTTATGGCTGATTAATTTGTATATTCAGCTCTATTGGGCAATGTATATCAATTCAATTTATATTTGTAAAAAAAAAACAACATTGGTAAGGTAAGATAAATTGTTGTATCAAGCTAAGCACTCCACACGGAACGATTATAAGGTTGAATATCAGCTTAAAAGTTTTGGTTTAACTAGGCATTCGTTCGTACCAATCTTTCTCATTTGTCGTCCCTAAAGATCTTTTTAAAACAATTTTAACATTTATTATCAAAATTTTAATTTATAAGTAAGATATTCATTTACATTCAAATCATTTTTCACCACATATTAAGTGAAAATCCATTTAATTCATATAAAGTATGTATTACAAGTTTCTTTTTTTCAAGTCTACCATGTCAAGGTAATAAACATTTAAATTTGGTCAACTTTGAGAAACCAAGGGAGTTTAGGCATTGAATTCTTTCTATCTATTATTAAAGATGAACAATCTAAATTTTGAAACAGTGCTTTGAGTGTTGGTGTAACATAGTGATGTAGATCATTGACCCCCCAGATAAAAGGGGTTGGGACTAGCGCACTAAAGCGACAACCTCCTCAAAGGATTAGAGGGATTAGGTGAAATGATTAAGATTCTCAGTTGTCATTAGCTAAGCTAGCTCTCAATTAAGATCTAAAAAGAGATAATAATGACAAGAAAACACTAAATAACCAAATACTAATTGGTAATTAGTTCAAGTCGTTAGTGCTAGCCAATTCAACAACAATGAGGCAATCACATCAATCATGCATGGGCAGAAACTAATAAAACATGCTTTATTTAACCATCATCATATTATATAATTATAAATTTATTCAATTAATGGACCCTAAAACTTGTTGTTGGATATAAAGTTTTTTTTTTCTTTTTATTATTCTTTCTCATAAAAGACAAATGTAGTGTCTTCATTTTCAATCAAGTTGTAGCTCCTTTTTGAGTTCAGCACCAAAGCTTTTTCATCATTATTTTATACACAATGCTAACTTGGCATCTTCTTTTGCTTAACGTGCCCGAAATGGAACTACTTCCCTCTTTCCTAAAGATTGCATAAAGATCTTATGCATAACAATTAGTTTTAAGTCTTGTCTTGCTAACTAACGTCTATTACGAGTATTAAGTTTAACTAACATTGACACTTGACATGCTATGTAATTCATACTCCTTATAATTAATGTGAAGAAAAATAAATACATAAATATTACTTTATGGAGTATCAATTATAAGGATCATGTTTGTGTAATGAAGAGACAAACAACATACTACACAAAAATAGATCTAAGACTGCTACAATTATCGTAACATGTAAGCTTGCAACACATTCAAGGATTCAAGAGAATAATAAGTAATTCAATCATATAAACGTAATTTAATAAAACGGAGTACACATTTGTAGAAAGTGAAATTGTTTCACTATTATTGTACCCTCTCAGTGGAATTTATTTGGTGATAAATGCATTTATCTATGTACCAACATGAAGTATTAGGTTAGGATATTAACAAGCATTTTTTTTTTTTACATCTTCAGTGACGACAATTGAGTATTTGTTCCATAAGTCGTGGGAATAAAACATAATGTTGTTTGTTTTTGTTGAGAAATTAATCCATAGATTACAATTTCTATTTTTCTTTGACCAATAATAGACATTTAAATGCTAAATGACACAATGTGGGGCCAGCCCAATTACATTTCTATCTACAGTTTTAAACTTGGTCCTTCGTTGGGGCCCAACTTAATCATTCCAAAAAATTAATAAAAAAACAAATGTGGGGTCCATAGCCGCAAAGGTTAATCCCAGTTATGACCATTAACTAACTGGCAGCAGGTTAATAAGAAACCAACCAATTGATAGAGATGGACTAGTTTGAACTTTTGAGGATGAAACTAGTATATGGACCGAATAATATATCAGACTAGATGAAACTAGTGCGATGCACGTTTGTTTATTATATTAGTTTTAGAATATTAGATAAAATTGTTATTTAAGTGATTAAAATTGTTATTATATTAGTTTTAGAATATTAGATAAAATTCTTAATATCAAAAGATAATATTTTGTATTTAATTAATTTAAATTTTAAAATTTCATTTGTTAATTTTGCTTACGAGGCATTTGAATTATTTAATTGTAAAAGAAATTAATAATCTCTTATTTAATTGGCTACTACTTAAATTCATAATCCCACATGGCGCGTTAAAAAAATTAAATCCTACGTGGTTCTCTTAAAAACTCGGGGAAAAACTTCCCTTTATATATATATATATATATATATATATATATATATATATATATATATATATATATATATATATATTAGATTCATGATCCTACATGGCGCGTTAAGAAAATTAAATCTTACGTGGCTCTCTAAAAACTCGGGGAAAAACTCCCATATATACATATATATATATCAGATTGTTACATAAATTATTATATTATAGTGTATAGGCATATTATAATACGCGATATTTATAATTGCTTGATAATCAACTTCAAATTATATTGTGTATATCTTGATAAGTATGTTAAAAATCGTTATTTTTTTAGGAGTACATGCGTTTTGGATGAGTGTTTCTTTCTATTATATGAGGGGATTCATGTGGCTTGAATTGTTTATTTATGTAGTTATTATGAACTTGCAATGGTTGTTATTTGTCCTTGTAAATGAGAAAATGAAATGATTCCACTGTGTGGGCTCTAATTTTGCCATGTATCCAACAAATTATTGGCTTTACACAACAAAATTTTATGGTTAGATTCAGGAAAATGACGGTATCAACCTTTTTCTAAATCAACTAACGGGTCAAATTTTGCAATTCTAGCTAAGTGTAGACTTTGTTCTCCTCGTTTTTGGAGTATTTTAAGGGGTTGTTTGGTTACACAAAGAAAATGGAGGAAGTCAAAAATCATGGAAATTTGAAAATGGGTGAGTTGTTTGGTTGACACTAAAAAGTGAAAATGAGGGAATTGCAAATTCATGGGAATTGTGACTTTCCACAAAACATGGGAAGTTGATTACCCAACCCCCCCTAGGTAAGTCAAAATTCCCATGATTTGCAACTTCCTTCATGTCAACCAAACAATTTTAAGCAATTCCCATGAATTTGATGTAGGAAATTAATTCCCATGAAATACAAATTCCTATGGGAAGTAAATTCCGATAGCAACCAAACGACACCTAAATGAACAAAAAAGAAAAGAATAAAAAAAAAAGGTTAATCAAACAAACAAGCTATTTAATAAAATTTGATTGAGTTCAACTAAAATAAGTAAAACTAAAGCAAGTTCAAAATATGTAAATTGAGTTCTGTTTTAGTACAAGTTAAAGCAGAAGTTCAGAAATCTAAGAAGATGACAAGGTGCTGAAATTTAATGCAACTCAAATAATTTGAGTAAACACCACTTTTCCTAATTATCAAAATATAAAGTATGGATAGATTAGTTTCCAATAATTGGTAAGACTAGTACAGTCTAGATCAACAACATAAAACAACTACCTTGATGATTAAGGGTTTAGTGTGTAATCAAGATCAAACTAGAACAATTTAAACAAAATTATAATGATGTTGAAGTACCGCAATAATAACTAATAATCTTGAAAACAAATAAAGGGTATTAATTAAGATGACGAAGATCGATATAGACCTAGTACATACATGCTTATATAATTTGTTGCCAACACATAGCCACAAAAATCACATCCAAAATTAAAATTAGATATTTAATATAAAGATTTAATTTAAGTTAGAAAACAAAAAAATAGCTTTCAATAATCAAATAATAACAAGCCAGCAGTTGAAATTGTATTTATGCGTGAAGATACAAGCTTATGAAGAAGAAGGGAGAATGATAGGTTACCTGACCACAGACCACAAAGATTATGAATATAAAAAATAAATAAATAAAAAGGTCCACTACTTTTTTTTAGTTTGACAAAAAAATGCCAACCCAAAAATATAAATGTTGGGATGGGAAGGCTTGGGTAAATTATACGGCCCACCAATTTTAGAGGCTACAGTTTCAGTTTGATAATCTTTGTTGAATCAAATCTTTTAACAGCAAATCGAATTTTAACATGTGTTTGTATAAATGCCCTATGTTTATGTTTTGCTCATTTCTTAGTTAGATTCAAATGTTTTTGGTCCAGCCATGTTAATGCATGGGACCAAAGATGAATCTTACGGATGCTTTTTCTTGTACATGTAATTGTGTATGTGTAGTAGCCTAGACTATAGCTAGTAGGATTTGGATTGGGATTAAGGTATCGAATATTAAGCTTGGGAAATGCTTTGCGCTACCTCACCCTGAGAGGCTAGGAACGACTCTAACTAAGGTGTGTCCACCATTTAGTGAAGGGATGGCATAAAATACGTACAAATTCAAATATATTCACATTGAGTTTAAACGTTTAGGCTATGTTCAAATAATTATGTCAAAAGAGAGTTTGACCAATTTGTAGACTTCCATTGTAACACTCGTAGGCCATACAATGTATAAGACGATATTTAAACTTGTATATACAATCACGTACTCTGCATAGTATCATTCATTCAAGTGTAAAAAGAAGAGGAAATTTGTACATAGAGTAATCGACGAAGCATGTACGAAATGTCCACTTGAAAATGGAATAAAATAAAGTCGACCCTACAAAAAATATTATGGAGGAGTTGAAAGGCGAAAAAGGGTGAAGTAAAGAAAAAGTGAAAATAAAAAGAAGGGGAAAACTGCAAAAGCTAACACAAGCTGGTGATTATGTTACTGAGATTCCATCAGATCGATCAACTACTGTGTCCTTTCTCCTTATTTGCTAGGCACATATTTCATGGTCACAACTTACAACTTGTAAAAGTATTGGGAGAGACGAGAGAGTAATAAAGTTTAAAGTTTTCAGCCGTTAATTAGGTTGAATGTATAAATTATTCTTGAATTTTCTTTAATTATTCCATCACATTTTTAATTATTAAGTGCTTCATGTCATGATTTCCATTTCATATTACCTGCTAATAATGGATAATGGACAAGTTTTATTTTCTCATGTCGGGTATAGTCGTATATCTATACCATTATATCATTGATCTACCCGCTACATGGCACAAAT